TAAACAACGTTGCAGAAATGAATTATAGAATAATGTTATATAGTGCGGGAGCTGTATGATAAATAATTTCAAACAGATGTTTTTATTGTTCTTTGAATATTGTTTTCTTTAATATATTCTTCAATAATAGTGATTTATTACATGTCACAGTTTTTATTCATTAATAGTTATATAAAAATTACTATTACTATTTATTAATAATGTAAATAAGTAATAGTAATCGTTTCAACGACTCATCAGGAAGATAGCAATTAAAAATACGTATTATTATAAAATAAAAACCATATAGTATTTATAAAATCAATTTTCAAAAGCATTAGTTACTCGCTTATTAGACTACTCTCGGATGCATAACTGTAATTATTTTATGGACTATGATAGGATACTAGAAAAATCTAAAACTCGATTAGTAATATTGTTAAGAATTATTTTCTGTTTTAAATCTATTTTAGATCATGTCATCGACTTTATTTATCTTACAACTCCTAGTCTATAACCTTCAGTGTTGCATATAATGTGGTCCAAGTCAAAGAAAACAAGATTATAATGGTTCACATTGATTTATATACTGCGATATTTATCTAACTTGAATACTTTCGCATAAATAAATAGGATCAAACAATAGACTTTCTAAATAGAATGTAGTGTTATTATTAAATGAAAGTATACTCACGTGTAAAATATTAAGTTAGTTAATGATAGATTATAAATACTTATATCACAAGTATGTATGTTTAGTCATCTCACTTAGTTATGCTATAAGTACCTCAAAACTTTTTGTGAGTTTAAATTATTACGTTGGTTATTAATTTAAACATTAAACTATTTTTTTTGTGATGAGTACTTAATTATTTTAAATTTCATACATTGGTTTTATTTCAAGGCAAAAACGCAATATAATAGCGATCAGTTCAAACCAATTCTTAAAACGCTTCCGCTTATAACTTGAATAGTCACACCGTTTGTACATTCAGTCAGTCAGTGTTCCGATAAGCAACGTGTAAAGTGTGTGTATTTAAACAGTGAGAAACAAAATAATTTATTAGATTCCAATTATCATTTAGATGTTACCTAGCTAGTTAGGGGTTATTGGTATTACTTTTTAACTTTATTGGGTGAGGAGACACGAACCAATCGGGTACAGAAAAAATCTAGAAGTCAAGATGGTAACTCCGAAGCAAACTGCACTGAATTTTTATTCAGGGAGACCATGAGCCAATCGGGTCGAGACTTCATAGAACTAAAACAAATATGATACTCCAGTGGCAACTCCGAGGCAATCGGCACTGAATTTTTATTCAGGGAGACCACGAGCCAAACTGGATGGAGTATATAATTTCTGATTTTGATTTTACTACTAAAATTATGATACTCTAGTGGCAACTCCGAGGCAATCGGCACTGAATTTTTATTCAGGGAGACCATGAGCCAAACTGGATAGAGTATATAATTTAATTACTATAATTTCCGGGTGTTAACTGAGGCAAGCTGCTCATCCATAAAGTTATAAAAGTATACCGTAGTCCTATCGCTAAATGTTTAATATGTATGTTCATTGCGTTAGGCATATTAAAGGAATCTAATGAATGTTTACGTTTCAGTCAGTGTAGTGAAAAAATGTGATCAATCTCGCTGCCATGGTCACCAGGTTAGTCGATTATCCATTCAATAAAACTTGAACTAAAAAGCGTGAATAGCATCAATTCTCTAATAAATTCTTATACTGAATCCATTTATAATATTGAGCATTCTGTCATTCCATAAGTGAGTGGTGGCGAAACGCCGACACGAATGAGTGGGGGACAGAATGCCCAATATTACCCTACTATACAGGAATAATTTAAAACCACTGCGTAGATTTTGTGAAAATAAACTTTAAGTAATTTAAACAAACACGTATTTTTTATTTTGATATGTTCTAATACTAAAAAATAAAGTTATCGCTTATCAAAGATCGAGATTTTAAAACTTCATTTATGGACACCGCGCGCCGTGCGTCAGCTGAGCGCTCGCTCGACGCCGTAAGTATGTACTCGTAGGTATCTACACGGGTCACTGACCGCTCATTTTGTTAGATTCGAACTAGATTTTATGCCATGATCTGAGTTGATTTCTAAGAGTAATTCCAATTTTCCCTTCATACTTTTATGGTTAAGACCATCAAAATGCAAAAAAAATAAAAGAGAAACATATTCGTTACCTAGAAAAAAATATTAACGTTATGCCGAAGTTACATAGAATAAGTTATCTTTATTTATATCAAAAATTATGTTTATTATATACGTCACACTTTATTCATTTCTATTAGTGCATCTTTATAATGCTGTTGTAATCATTGTAACAGCGCATGCATATAAATTTATTATAAACTCCTTGCTATTCACATTTTATATTTATTACAAGTTTAAATATACACACAGTTTAAATTATTTACACTTATACAAATATTACTTAGTCTATAACACTACCTGGTTTTACTTATTTTTATTTACATATATTTACACTTTAATGCACATTCAACACTCTACCTTTTTAAATTTTACTAATGATTAATTACAAAAATGTAAGAGTCAGTCTTTTCAATGCAGGTTCCCTGGGTACTGGACATGAGGAACTGATTGTGGAGATAGAAAAATTGGTCCCAGATATCCTTGCAATAAACGAAACATGGCTTCGGGTGGGCGAGGATGACAAGGCGCCTAAAGTTAGGGGTTATAGATTGATTCATACTCCCAGGCCCACTCATATACGGGGTGGTCGTGGTGGTGGAGTGGTTACTGAGTGATTACTTCTTTTTCCAAGCGAGATGGACTTATTCTGTTAGGTGACTTTAACATCGACTTGTTGAAGGCTGGTAGTGGTAAGTGTGGGCTGTTCTTCTCAATTCACTTCTAGTATGAACCTTAATCAGTTAGTCACCGAACCCACACATTTTACTGGAGACAGCGGTAGTCTGATCGATGTCATTTGCGCAGATACTAGGGCACTACATGTTACAGTCAGACACAATCCTGACCTTGGACGACATGCAATTCTTTTGGCAGAATTTAAAATAAAAAAGGAAAAGGCATGTCTACAGTGGGTACAGTATAGGCCCTTAAAGAATATTATTTTAGAACAATTAAATAATGATCTTGAAGTTATTAACTGGGATAATTTTGGTCAATCTGGTAGCGCGAGTGATCTGGTGGATAACTTAACATCATGTATTGTAAGCTTGTTTGATCTCCATGCTCCCATTGTTACACGCAAATTTAAGCATCCGCCATATCCTTGGATTACTGACACGGTAAGAACCATGATGCGAATTAGATACAAACATCTGAAATGCTTTAAATTAAACAAGACAGAGTCTCTTAAGAACAGTAACTTGACCATGAAGCATCTGGTAGTGGAGGCAATTGACCGAGAAAAGAGATGTTACTTCGATAATCACATAAATAGCAATATAAACCATCCTAAAGGATTATGGCAAAACCTAAAGAACACTCTATTGCCTGATGCAAAATCAAGAAAAGAGCTTCCGCTGTGGTTGAGTGATGCCGACTCTCTGAATTGGCATTTCCTTCAATTGCCAGGCAACAATCAGGTGACAATATCTCAACTAACACCTTGAATATCATAAATATGGGCCAGCTACTTTTTCCCTACAGCCTGTTAGTGACATTGAAATTCTAAAAATAATAAAAACTTTAAAATCCAATGCCGTGGGATCTGATGGTATATCCCTCGATATGTTGTTATTGACTATGCCGTACACTATTTGTGCGATAACTGAGATTGTAAATAGATCCATAGTTGATGGAGTGTTTCCGGAGGCTTGGAAGACAGCTGTAGTCAGGCCGATACCCAAAGTAAATGAACCATCATCTCCACAGGACCTACGCCCAATCAGTCTGCTGCCGTGTATATCCAAGATTTTGGCGCGTGTTGTATGTGACCAGTTTACGAGATACCTAGAAGATAATAATATTCTTCCGCTACGGCAGTCTAGGTTCCGTGGGGGTCATAGAACGGCTACTGCCCTTGCTGAAGTTGTGGATGAACTTCTGACTGCCCAGGTGAACTGCCTCAATAGTCCCAACGGGTCGTATAAGGACATGACGGCCCGGGGGACGAAGTTGCTCGCGTCCGCAGGAGTTTGCCCTTTGTTACCCTGCACGTGTCCCCCGGGTGGCGCTAAACGAGCAACAAAAGAGGAGCCCGTCAGGTGTCCCGGACTTATTCCGGGTAGCGGCTGATGGGCAGGGAGGTGGTGGGTTCGGTCCCCTCTTCGGAGGGGGGCTGTGTTGGCCCTCTATTGGGTCTTCTGGAGTCAGGAGTTTTGTCTTCTGACCTTTTGAGGTTTTGGGCTCCGGGCCGGCGCCCCGACGGTAAGTCGGGTAGCGGCGGCGCGGTTCGGGCTGGGCGGGCGCTCGGGAGTACCTGGGTAGCGGCCGTGCCGGCGAGGGTGGTGGACTCGTCGGGTCACGGTGGCGTGAATGATGGGTGTCGTTTTGTCGACAACCACCGGCCGACCTTGTCATTCCGCAAGCGCGGAGCCGGGGCGGGGGCTGCCCTTAATTGGATGACCTCAATAGGAGAAAACCTCGATAAAAAAATCACCCAGCCCAAGATAGACGCGGTCGAGGAGTTGGTGGCCGGCGGGTTTTGCCGGTCGCTACGTGTCCTCTGGAGGTAGGAAACGGGCGCCCCCCACCTTCACAGCCCTAGCCTTGTCCGTACATGGTGGCTCTGTGCGGATGGACTTCCTAACCGACTTTGCTCGTGAGAACAAAATGGATGACTTAAATATAAAAACACACAAAACTTTTCGGAGAGATGGTGGGCCGAGCCCTGATGGAAGAGGGCGACGTGCAGTGAGGGATTCCCCGTACGGAGGGGATGGGCCCGGCGCAGGCGGAAGAGCGCGGAGTTTGAGAAGTGCGAGCTCTAGCTCGAGCATAGCGGGGAGTATTCACACTCCAAGATCTAGATCTAGGTCTAGAAGTGCAAATAGAATGGATAGTGCTGTCCTAAGCTCTACGGCTGAAAAACCTAAGAAGCAGCGCGCCCCTAGACGAAAAAACAGAGACACGAATGGGGAGTCAGTTGTTTCTTTCAAATCTGTGGATACTAGTGAGTCCTTTAAGTCCGTTGAGGATTCCTCCCCATCTTGGTCACTACCGGACATGCCAGAAAGCCTTCTAGACGAGGTCTCTAAAAGAATTACAAGGAGTGCCACTAAAGGCCCCAAGGCTGAGAATATGGACAGTAAGACTTCTCTGTCTGTAGAGGCGGATGATTCTTCTGCTCCTGACACTGAATCGAAGATGGCAACTAAGAGCGATGCCATATTGATATGTAAGGTTCCTCTAAAGGACATGAGTCCCTCTTTGAGAAAAGCTGAGGGTGGAAGTGATGGAGCTCTCAAATTGGGCTATTACTTGAGCGAGGGAGGTAAAATTATATCCAGTAATTCTAAGTCCTCGTCCTCCTCCCCTACTGTGTCACGTACACCCCTCTCGCCTTCGACGTCTTTTGAGACCCCTATCCCCCCCACTATGTCCCTTCTTTCACCTGTTGCGGGGGCATCTACTAGGGCAGATAGTACTGACTTGACAGGACCAAAGGACTCTGATGTACTCTTATCCAACACAGAGCCTATTGTGTCTATCGATTATAATGAGCCAATGGAACATTTGTCATATGCCTCAAAAAGGAGACGCAATGCCTGTAGTACTAAGGAGAGTAGTGGCAAGGATTCTACGACCACAGTTCGTAGATCCTCAAAGGAAAACAAGAGGAAAGATCCTAACAAACCCTCAGATGGACAGATTAGCTCTGGTAGCTCAATCGGCAATCCCGATGCGACCCTCGGAGAGAATTATGCTGGAAGAATACGAGGGAGTTCAGATTCTGACGGAGCCATCGGATCTGACGAATCAAGAGACTGCGACCTGTCGGGAGATGAACAAAGAAAGAGGTCCAAGTTCATGAGACAGGAAGGCAGTCCTATCGAGGAAAATGAAAACCCCGTTACAGCGACAAAAAGGCATATTCGAACGATTTTTTCTGATATTGACAAATCAAAAAACGTCAAGGGGCCATCATTAATCACATCAAAGATGCTGCTAAAAAGTTGGATTCTATTGTTGGCAAAATGTCTTGTCAGTCTGAGACAGATGAAATGCGCAGACTCAGGGCTGACAAAAATCGACTAAATCGTGAGCTCGGTAACGTACAAAAGGAACTGGCAGCTATCAGACGAACTATGGAGGAAAGGAACCGGGATAGTAGGAAAAAGACCTCTAAATCCTCTCCCCTTCCTTCCTACCATGTTGAGGACACAGATGACTTTCCCCCTCTCTCTTCCAATGTAAAGAGGCCGGCAACTGATTCGAGTATCTCATTCGAGGAATACCTATGTAACATCTTGGGCGAAGTAATGGGCGAGTTCGAGAAGTTTCTCCTCATATCAATAGGCAACAAAATCAATGCCAGATTTGAGGGGATTCAGAGACGCCTACTACCAGAAAAGAACTTGCGTCCTCCTCTGGCAGCAGACAGGCCTAGGAATAACGTAGCATAGACTGTCTCAAACGTGGTCTCTGCTCCTAATACTGAAAGTGTCAATGAGCGCGCTACTTTTTCAGGATCTGCCGCTAAGGGACTCACCACCCAATCTGTCCCAAAGAAACAGACCATGAAAACAGTGGCGATCGCATCGAAACCTTCGACTCCAAAATCGACTAGGGACTGAGGTTGTTAATAAAAATAAGGAAAAGAGGAAGAGAGCCAAAGAAGCTGAAAGGGTAAAGAAGGCAACATCTCCCGCCTCTGGAAAAGAAGTAGCCACTACCCATTCTACTTCCAACCTTCCTTCTTCCTCTCGTCCTCCTTCTAGACCGGAGAAGACTATTAAGGGAAAGATGACGCCGGCTGTGAAGCAGCAACAATCAAAAGGTGCTTTTGTGCAACGGCAAAAAAGCCGAAGCTTTCTGTACCGCGCACCACGGCGGTTGTTATTATTCTCTCTGAAGAGGCCAGAGAAAAAGGGACCGCCTACTCCCAAATTGTGAAGATGGCTAGGAGTGAGGTGCAACTCAAAGACCTAGGAATACCGGGGATCAAAATTCGTCCTACAGCTACTGGAGCACGCAAATTTGAAATCCCTGGTACTACTAGTGGGGAGCAGGCGGGCCTCTTAGCGTCCAAGCTGAGGGAAAAGTTTGGTGATGTTATTGGTGTCTCGAGGCCTACTAAAAGAGCGAACATCCGAATATCTGGCTTCGACGACTCGGTCGACAAAGAAGAGGTGATCGAGTCTGTTACTAGGGCTGAAAATTGTTTGACGTAGTAAGTTAAGGCTGGGAAAATCAGCTTTAACGCTGGTGGGTTAGGGGCAGTTGTAGTTGGATGTCCGGTATCCGCTGCTAAAGCATTGGCGTCAAAGGGAAAGATCCTTATCGGCTGGACATCAGCATCAGTTCGCATTCTTGCCCCCCGTCCCATGCGTTGCTATAAATGCATGGGTACGGGACACGCGAGACAACTATATCCAAGCGAAATTGACGTCAGTGGGCTATGCTTCCGGTGCGGCGGCAACAATCATAAAGCTGCTACCTGTGGTAAAGAGGCCAGCTGCTTGATTTGTTTAAAGCTGGGTTTGCAGTCCAATCATGTCATGGGCAGCAACGGATGCAAACCCCCAGCTGCAAAACCTAAGCCAAAGACCAGCGGGACCCAGTTTCAGGCTCGCAGCGTGAGGAAAGAGGGCGTTGCCCTGGAGGAAGCTGAAATGTCGACTTAATGTTTAGACGGCCCATCAGCTTTCTTTAGGGGAACATTAATCATGCAGCAGGAGCACAGGATTTCCTGCTGTAAACGATTAAAGAGTGGGAGATAGATATCGCGGTCTTCGCTGAGCCATATTCGGTCCCCAGCAGAGATAACTGGGTCAAGAACAACGATAATAGCGTTGCAATTCACATCCCGCGGACATATTCACATCCCGGTTCATAGTGGCGAGCACCTTTTTCTAGAGGTTGAGTTGAGGCATTCAAAAATTCTTTTAGGTGTGTACTATAACCCGTCATCGCGAAATAACTTCTTCTCTTCTTTCGAAAGTAAACTGGAACTTCTTTGTCCCACTTACAGTCACACTATTATTATGGGGGATTTCAATACTTGTCTCCTAAAACATGACTCTCGTTCGACAACACTTCGCACAGTTCTGCAATCTTGTAATTTGCATATTCATTCATTCATTAATGCTGATTGGTCAAACGTTTTTAACTGTAACTCTGTGGATGCTTAGCTGGAGTTTTTCATGACGACATTCACTGCATTATATGATACTCATGCACCAATCCATCCGGTCCGAATGAAACACCGTCCTTTGCCATGGCTCACTGATGAGATAAAACGTTTATCTGAGCGTAAAGCCTCAGCCAAAACAAAATACAAATGTCGGCCCACTCTATACAATTGGGAAAAATATGTTAACCTCCGCAATTACTGCAATAAAGTGTGTAGGAGTGCACAACGCCAATACATTCATAACTCTGTTGAAAACGCAGAACCAACAAAAGTCTGGAAATTTTTAAATTCTATGGGCATCGGAAGACAACGTCATTCACCTACTACTACAGGTTTAGATATAAATCAGCTCAATAAAAGCTTTTGTTCCTTGCATGATTTCGATTCGAGAAAAAGGTGAGTACTTTGAATTTTCTTTCATCACTTCCATGCCCTAATTATTCAACGTTTTCTCTTTGTCAATTCTCCGACTGTGATGTTAAGAAGAGTATTATGTCAGTATCATCTGGAGCTGTGGGTAGTGACTGCGTTAGCCGGAAGATGATTGTTCTCATTCTAGATGAAATCCTTCTACTCATTACACATATCCTGAACCATTCCATAAGCACTGGAGTCTTTCCATCTGCTTGGAAAGATGCTCAAATCATCCCGTTACCAAAAAAACCCAAACCATCGTCCTTTGCTGACTATAGACCCATCTCAATCCTACCTTTCCTTTCCAAAGTTCTGGAGCGACTTGTCCATAATCAACTATCCAGCTTTCTTCATAAGAACCACTTCCTTAATCCTTATCAGTCCGGTTTCCTTACTGGGCATAGTACTGCAACGGCTTTGGTGAAAGTTACTGATGACATCAGGACAGGTATGGAAGATGGCAAAGTTACGGTCCTGTCTTTACTTGACTCCAATAACGCATTCATCACCGTAGACTTTGATGTTTTGCTCAGTATATTACGCTCTCTTAACATATCTCCAGTGGTGATTGACTGGTTTCATAGTTACCTGTCTGGTCGCCGCCAGCGAATTCGCATTGGAGAATCTTTCTCAAACTGGTGTGAAATTTCTGCTGGGGTGCCTCAGGGTGGCGTTCTATATCCATTACTTTTTGCAATTTTTATTAATTCCATTTCCTATCAGTTAACTTCATCCTATCACCTTTACGCAGATGATTTGCAAATATATGTGCAAGCCCCTATAGACCAAATTTCTCAAGCCATCAGTATTTTAAACAGTGATTTAGACCTGATTTGTAATTGGAGTAAGACATATGGTTTGAAAGTCAATCCTCTTAAAACAAAAGTCATCATAGTAGGTAATTCTATAATGACCAATAGAATCAATTTTTCACAACTACCAGCAATTACATTTGATGGTGTACAACTAATCCCGTGCGACAGTTTAAAAAATTTGGGTGTCTTGATTAATAAAAATTTGAATTGGGCACTCCAAGTTGAAGAAGTGAGCCGAAAGGTGTTTGCTGCGGCAGGTTCTTTAAGAAGGCTTCGTAATTTTCTTCCAATGGCCACTAAAACTGCGCTGTCTCAATCTTTGTTACTTCCCATTTTAGATTATGCCGATGTCAGCTATCTAGATCTCACTGAGGAGCAATTAAATAAACTTGAGCGGCTTCAGAATTTTTGTATTAGATTTATATTTGGTTTACGCAAATATGATCACGTATCCGCTTTCCGTACTAAACTCAAGTGGCTGCCAATTCGTCTTCGCCGGAATGCACATATTGTTTCTCTTCTTTACAGTATTCTGTTTAATCCTTATTCACCAGCTTATCTTAAGGAACGTTTTAATTTCCTTCATAATACACATACTAGAATTTTGAGGTCATCGGAGAACTTGAAATTGTCAATACCGATGCATGACAGCAAATTTATTCATAAATCATTTACAGTCCAAGCTGCACGTCTTTGGAATGCATTGCCAGAAAACATCAGGCGTGCTCAAAGCATACACATTTTTAAGGAACTAGTCAAAGAGCATTATCTGTCACTTACTCTGAATCCCGTCTGATTCTTATCTGTCATCTAACTAAGGGCTTATATGTATGTTATATATAAATAAATATGTATTATAGAATTTAAAGTATTTATGTATTTCATTTATTCATTAAATATAGGTAGAGATATGATATCATGATAAAGTTTGAAACACCATAAGCTACCCTAAATCTAATCTAAAGTAGATATAATTTTCGTTCAGTTCACAAGGTTGCCTGGAAGAAATTACTTTTTAGTAATAAGGCCGCCAATTGTGCATTCACATTTATTGTATCCTTATATTTGTTTCTGTCCATTGGTGTACAATAAAAAATTTTTCATTCATTCATTCATCCCGCGGACCCAGCATTACTCGCCTCCTATCCAACTAAGGGAGAGTGGCTCGGGATTCGTGGTGGTGGATTGGGGCTAAATACGAATAATCGATGTCTTCTTCTCGCCTACCAGAACTCTAGCCCAGTATGAGATCTAGATAGACGAGATAGCGAGAGTATTGCGTCGACATGAGTCGAGTAAATTAATAGTCCTGGGGGACTTTAATGCGAAACATACCGCATGGGGGTCCCCCAGAGACACTCCTAAAGGAGAGCTAGTCGTTGAGTGGGTAATGTATACACATGTGTTAGGGCTGGGGGGGGATCCATGGTGGACATAACGTTCGCTACCACAGCCCTAGCAACACGGTTTAGAGATTGGCGGGTCATTGTCGACAAATACACAGTGTCGGATCACAGATTCCTGAGGTTCTGGATTGCTCCAGAATCAGGTGTCAGTGGCCCGACATCCACCAGCCTTAGAGAGCTCCACTTCCCCAGATGGGCCATTACGAAGCTGGATAAAGAATTGGCAGAAGAAGCTGCTGTAGTGCAATCCTGGGCAATCCCCTCCGATATTGGCCCGGACATCAATAACGCAGCTGATCGACTCCAAAGTGCCCTTACGGAGGTGTGCGACACATCAATGCCGAGAGTAAGGGCACCTCCCCCAAAGAAGTACGTTTATTGGTGGACTGAGGAGCTAACATGGCTGCGGAATAACACCTACAGAGCACGGAGAGCCTTACTCAGGTGCCACAGGCGATGTACCCGAATTCCAGGAGAGGAAGAACGTCCCCGAGCCTCATATAATACGGCTAAAAAAGCGCTCAAAGCCGCTATTTGCAGGGCTAAGTCTGACGCCTGGGCAAGTTTTCTTGAGGAGCTTGATCGGGACCCGTGGGGTAGGCCATATAAAATGATTAGAAATAAGTTCCACCATCAGGCGCCACCCACGGAGTCCATGGACCCTGACCTATTGAGACGGGTTGTCAATATTCTCTTTCCTCTAACAACCCCGGAGCTGGCTCCGAAAATGAGACTTCCCCACCCTAATGACGA